ATTTAGGATGCTTACGGAATTCGTGCTTCAATATTAGTCCATCGGCCGCAACTCCGGTGTGTGTTTGGGGATTGAGATCCTGCGGCACGAAATTGACCCCATACGTCTTGTACCACTCCAGAACGGCCTTGGAGTAGTGACGAACGTTGTGTGGTTTGAGAAACGGAAGCAGTCGTTTCTTCAGGCACTCATTCATGTGGACTTGGTCATTTACGGTTGTAGTTGTTACGAAAGGCTTGCTCCGTTTTCCGCACGAATCATGAATTTCTTGGGGAACTTCCACAGTCACATTACTGGTTTCCCGGAATTTGTTTGAAGTCCGCTTTTCCGTATGTTTCATCGTCCACGTCGTCGCTTACGTGCCCACATTCTAGCTGTTCTATTCGGTCGTTCATTGTGGGTTGGTGCTTTCTGAACCGTAGTCCTGCTCGTTTCTTGGCTTTCTGCACGAAAGTTTTTGTCCGGTGCAGTTTTCGTTTTCGCGACATCCCGAATGGAATTGTTGGGTCATTTGCTTACGATCGACAGTTAAACGTAGATTGTTGGATTCCCAACATCTTTCCCATGGCTCAGTACTTAAAAATATGAGTTGTTGAGGTGAGTGTGCAAAATTTTCCCGCGCACTTCGACTCCATTTTAAAAATTGGTAGAAATTTCTCAATGAAACTCACTCAATGTAAACAATACACGCTGAGGCCATCTCCCCAAAATTTCATTAAAATTCAGTTCAGAAGTTCATGGAAGCTTATTTTTTAGGACTGTTCAATTAAATGCAGGGCAGTACAACAAGCTTCATGAGATCTGCAAAAAAAAAGTAAGAAGTTGACACGACCGTCAATTTGACGTAGAATTACGTGCTCGCTATCAATATTCGGCGACTGTGTTTGGGAAAGCGCTTTTTGCAGGCACTCGGTGATAATTTTAATCGCCATTGCAACAGTTGGACATTTCTGTATTTTTCAACAGTAACCTATTGAAAATCGATTAAGTGTTGATTTCAGCAGATAAAATGAGGTGTCTACGATTATACCTTACCAATTAGGTTAACAACGTACGCAGCCAGCACAACTTTATTACTACTGTCCAAATCGTGGGTTACTGTCGGAGTTCACGGATCGAGGATTATAGTCGGGATGCTGAGAGCCTTGAGAGGAACGAATCGTCAACAATATGTGATCTCTTCTAACGAAGCAGAGATCAGTCACCACTCGATCACCGTCGGATACGGTCGAAAAGGGCAAGGCCCTCGCGCAAACCCAATTTTAAATTGTTTATATTTAAGAATAAATGTTGCTTTATAATACCCACCTGATTGCAAGGACGTGGCCGGTGACGTTATTGATCTTTAAAGGTAGGAGTCACTGGAACATGTACACTGAGAATGGCAGGTTACTCCCAAGCCCCATTCAGTTGATTCTTTGTACAATTTCACTGGTTCAGATCAATCACGGAGTGCAACTATCGATACGTGCAGTGAGACTAAGCTAAGCTAAGCTAAGAATAAATGTTGCTTTATAATAAAATGTTTTAATGTAGTAAACTGTTAATAAAGTGAATTTAATGTGTTAAGTGTAGTGTTTTGTAAAAACTGAAGGTGCATGCTGCATGGCCCAGTGGACATACAAACCAGAAGCGAAGAAGTCCCCAATATACGGTTCTTATCAAGGTCAGCAGAGGTCAGCATTCGGAGGTAGGCTGCTGGGTACGGTTTTGGTTCCTCGAACGTACATAGTTGGTCCTTCGAGCCGGATACATTCCGGAAAATTTCGGATTTCGAGGCCCAAACGATGCTACAATAGGCTATTCACCATCGCGACGGCATTAATTCGGCGTTGTCTTCATTGTGCCGGAGAACACAATTGCCAGCAGCCCAACAAAGGGAACCCAGTGTAATCAGCCATCGCTACCAGCCATCGCTACCAGCCATCGCCACTATCCAACAGTGCCATCATTGTTCTTCGATTGGCTTGGGTTCAACGGAGTTCACACCGAAAAGAACAGCTTGGACATACACGCTGTGGTCATCATCTCTAATTGGTGCCTTCACTACAAGCAGTAACACCCGTAGAATAATCAGGAGATTGTTCTACTTTCCTACCAGATTCGCTCGACATCTACTAGGCTGGCTCAACCATTGCCAAAAGCGATTCGTCATATGGTGACCGCATCTGTGGATTGTAGACTGCCGTGAATGGATACGGTGGACGATATTCCGAATCAAAGATTTCGCAGATATCGAGTGGTGACGGTGACTAAGATAACGCTACGGTGGACGTCGCTGAGCCATAATTTCTGGCAGGTAAATTTTAACACAAATAGATGTCCAGCCGTTGCTGGATTTGTGAACTGTACTCCAACAATAAATTGTACCTTTTTGGCGAACATTGGATCACTACTTTCTTGCGGACGAATCCCTGATTTGCGAGGTTCGAGATTAAATCTCTCAACTACTTTCGACGATCTTCTTCGCTGAACTTCACCTCGGTTGAATTGCCCTGCATCATCATTGATTGTCCAGGTGAGGCATAGTATATGTCTACCGAAGCAAGTTTTGTTGGATACTACATTAGTGCTTTATTTCCCTCACGTACTGGTTGAATACTATTGTCCAGTCATCGTGGAATAGCTGGTGCAGTCGGAACGAAATTTGCTCATTCATTATGGAATTCCATCGCTTCATTGTCTCGCCAACGATCGTCGCATAAGAGAACCTACGGTTTCATTGGGATTCAGATCGTAGTGGGTTGGCGCCTTCGTTCTTTGCCCAGGTAAAGCTAAACGGTATATGTCCGGCCGTAGTTGGATTATTGATACTACATCCGCCATTTTCTCTTTTGACACTCCTGAATCGGTGATAAGTTAACCTATACGTGTGGATGAAAGCTAATCGTACATTGGCTTGCACATTGAACGAGCTTTAAGAAAATTGGAGGTTGCTACCAGAATCCTTCGGTCATCCAGCGCAGCTATTAGTATATGTTTGGCCGAAGTGGGCCATTTGGATACTACACCTCTCTTTTCTTTCGATTTTGGATTTGTTGGATTGTCAGGCTGTACCGGGTTGCATCGTCCATAAATTCGTTCAGACGCTGCTCTTTTAAAATCCGTCAACATGCCTTCAAGATCCAAGGAAGGTCCACCACTGAAGTCTCTTTACACTAAATTAAAGGGGCAACAAACTTCCGTCAACAATATCTACAAATTCGTTGAGAACTTTCCGGAGGGTACCACTGCTAGCTAAATTCACGTGCGTCTTGAACGTTTAGATGATCTATGGGAGAAAATTAGTGATTCTCTCTATGAAATCGAAACTCACGAGGAATACACTGAAAGCGATGTATTTTCAAAGGAACGTTCGGATTTTGGAAACCGCTACTATGACGTCAAGTCATTTTTGCTTGACAAGGCCAAGGAATTTACAAATACGTCAGCTCTCGACGAATCAGCTGCAACGTCGCATGGAGGGATGGACCATGTTCGTCTGCCGCAAATTAAACTACAAAATTTCGACGGCAACATAGACGAGTGGCTGAGCTTTCGGGATCTTTATACTTCATTGATTCACCGGAAGGCAGATTTATCAGAAGTAGAAAAATTCCATTACCTTAAGGGTTGTCTCGGAGGTGAAGCGAAGGCGTTAGTAGATTCATTGAAAATCACTCGAGGTAACTATTCGATAGCATGGGAAACCCTTCAAAAGCGATATAATAACAGCAAGTTGCTAAAGAAAAGGCAGGTTCAGGCGCTTTTCAAACTGCCAAACCTTGGGAAGGAATCTGTGATCGACCTGCAAAGGCTTTTGGAAGGGTTTGAGCGATCCATTCAAACATTGGATCAAGTAGTTCAGCCGGCTGATTATAAGGATCTTTTGCTGATAGAAGTTCTCAGTGCACGGTTGGACCCCAGTACACGGCGTGGATGGGAAGAGTTCTCTTCAACGAAAGAACAAGACACTTTGCCGGAACTCATTGACTTTATTCAACGTCGCATTCGTATTTTAGAATCGCTACCCATAAGATCTTCGGATAGTCGTCAAGAGTCGGTACCAGCGGTAATGAAAAGGAAACAGTGGGTTCGTGTCACCAACAACGCTGTGCAGTCAACTTTATTGAAATGCCCTGCATGCACGGAGAACCATTTGCTGCATCTTTGTCCATCCTTTCTTCAAATGACGGTTTCCAGTCGAGAGTCTCTGATTCGTACACATGCTCTTTGTCGGAATTGCCTTAAGAGAGGACACCAGGCAAGGGACTGTTCTTCAAAGTACACTTGCACAAAAAAGAAAGGCTCATCATCACACTCTAGTCTGTTTTAAGGGTGAATCAGACTCAAAACTTCAAGCTGCCCCAAATGGAAATAAGGGAGGTTCTGGCAATAACAACAGGTCGTCGGCAGCAACCAATCAGCAAGAGGCGAATACGGCATCCTCTAGCACTGCATCATGTAACATGGCTCATGGGCGGACTTCAAGCATTCTTCTTGCCACAGCATTAGTTCTCGTTGAAGACGATACGGGATCTCGGTATCCAGCTCGTGCATTGCTTGACTCCGGTTCAGAATGCAATTTCATATCGGAGACATTGAGTCAGCGCTTGAACATTCGTAGCAGAGAGAAGGTCGACGTGTCGGTGTTGGGTATTGGCCACGTCGCGACAAAGGCAACACAGCGGCTGCAAGTGGCAATTAAGTCACGAGTTTCACTATTTTGTCGGTCCCTGAGCTTTCTGGTGTTGCCAAAGGTGACCGTCAATCTACCTACAACATCGGTGCATACTAAAGGATGGGAATTTCCAGAAGGAATAGAATTGGCTGATCCAAATTTCTTCAAGGCAAGCACAGTAGATCTGGTCTTGGGAATACAATCCTTCTTCACCTTCTTCAAGACAGGACAGGAAATGTCATTGGGTCACGGTCTTCCCATGCTAACGGAGACGGTATTTGGATGGGTTGTGTCAGGAGAAGTTACTGAAACTCCATCATCAACTAGGGCAGTCTGTAATATGGCATTTTCAGACAATCTGGAAAAACTCATGGAACGTTTTTGGACCTGCGAGGAAGTGGGATTTTCCAACAACTACTCTCCAGAGGAAGCACGCTGCGAGGAGCAGTATGCACGCACAGTTCAAATGGAAGCAGGCGGTCGTTACATTGTGACACTTCCCAAGGATGAGGATATTCTATCACAACTCGGGGAATCTAAGGACATTGCGTTTAGACGTCTGCAAGGACTGGAACGCAGGCTCTCAAGGGACGAGAACCTATCGAAACAGTACAAGGCCTGCATGACGGAATATTTGAAACTAGGTCACATGCGGAAGGTGGAGGATGATGCTCTGAACGGGAGTAAGCGGTGCTACTTACCACATCATCCAGTTGTGAAGGAGGCTAGCACAACTACAAAGGTGAGGGTTGTCTTCGACGCCTCGTGCAAAACGTCGAGTGGGATCTCCCTCAACAATACACTACTGGTCGGGCCAGTCATCCAGCAAGATCTCCGTACAATAGTTCTCCGCAGTCGTACCCGTCAGGTGATGCTGGTAGCGGATGCGGAAAAAATGTATCAGCAGATTAATATGAACCCAACGGATATTCCACTGCAAAGTACTTTATGGCGGTTTGGGACAGACGAAGAAGTTGAAACGTATGAGCTTACGACGGTGACGTATGGAACGAAACCGGCACCCTTTTTGGCAACTCGTACGATCAAGCAACTAGCTGTAGACGAGCGGGAAAAGTACCCCCTTGCAGTACAGGCTGTAGATGAGGATATCTACATGGATGATGTTATCTCAGGTGCAGATGACATTGAAACAGCAGTGGAACTACAAAAACAATTAAACGCTATGATGGCAAGTGGCGGGTTCAAGCTTAGGAAATGGGCGTCTAATTGCTCAGCAGCTTTGTATGGCATACCGCGAGACAATCTAGCGCTTCCGACCACGGAGGAAGTTAATTGGGAACAGGATCAATCAGTAAAAACCTTGGGGTTAACTTGGTTACCAACAACCGACTGCTTCAAATACCAATTTCAAATACCAACCTTCCAGCCAGACGAAATTCTTACCAAACGGAAGGTTTTGTCTGCCATAGCGATGCTCTTTGACCCTCTTGGACTTTTGGGGGCAACTATAACACTCGCGAAAATCATCATGCAGCATTTATGGAGTTTGCGAAATGAACGAGGAGAACGATTGGATTGGGATGCGCCATTACCAAACACGGTGGGGGAGGAGTGGCGAAACTTTCATGAGCAACTGGTATGCTTGAACGAGCTTCGAGTACCTCGCTGCGTGATCGTATCAAAGGCAAAATCAATTGAGATAAAGGGTGTCCACAATGAAATTGCCACACACAAAATTGATTCGCAAAATTCGAGTTTTCATCCGATTGCCATCAAATTTTCAGGGATTGAGAATTAACTATTAAACTTCATTTTACCATTTTACTCGTATTTTATTTACAGTCCATACGCAAATGCCCGCACCTTGGCCTTAACCCCGGCCATAAGATTCTGCACAACCTGTGAATCAACCGTTTTTTGCATGTAAACCCATACTTTCTTCAGTTCCTCGACTGTCTTCACTACCTTAGGTCGTTTAAGAAGGTGCTGCTTCATAATCGCCCAGTACTTCTCGATGGGGCGGAGCTCCGGAGTGTTGGGAGGGTTGAACATTTTCGGCACGAAATTGACCTTATTGTCCGCATACCACTTCAGCACGTCCTTGGAGTAGTGGCATGAGGCCAAATCCGGCCAGAAGATTGTTGGGACGTTGTGGGCCTTCAGGAGAGGAAGCAGTCGCTTCTCGAGGCACTCTTTTATGTACACCTGTCCGTTCATCGTGTCCTGGGTCACGAAAGGTGCACTCCGCTTCCCGCACGTGCAGATGGCTTGCCAAACCAGGAATTTCTTCGCAAATTTGGACATCTTCTGAGTGCGGACATGCTCCGGAACGCTGAACTTATCCTTGGCCGTGAAAAACAGGTTGCCGGGGATCTGTTTGAAGTCGGCCTTCACATATGTTTCGTCGTCCATGATGCAGCATTCAACTTTCGTCAGCATGTTGAGGTACAACTTTCTGGCACGGGTTTTGGCGGACTTGTTCTGCTTCTCGTCGCGATTAGGGGCCTTTTGTACCTTGAACGTTCGAAGTCCAGCCTTAGTTTTGGCCTTCTGGACAAAACTTCGGCTTAGGTGCAGCTTCTTAGCCACATCCCTAACGGAGGCGTTCGGATTTCGGTTGAAGGCCCCAACTACGCGGTTGTGATTTTTGGTGTTGTACGGAATACTTTTTCCTTCACTTCTGGGCTTCCGATCGGTGGTCAACCGTTCCTCGAACCGCTTAATCACTCGCGACACCGTGGAATTCGCGATTCCCAACGTTTTAGCGATGGAACGATGCGAGAGATCCTTGTTCTCGTGATGAATGCGCAAGATTTTATCACGCACGAGCTGTTCTTTCGACTCCATTTCCGCGAGTTTTGATCACAGGACTTTAAAACTTGCAGGATGTAAATAATGCACTATGAACTAAATCCACCCAAATTTTCATTAAATTCTACCCAACGGTTAAAAAGTTAGAGCAATTTCATAGTGTGGCAATTTCATCGTGGACACCCTTTAGTACCGTCCCAATGACGCAGATTTTTAGCGATGGGCCCAATATTAGATCCATAGGCCAACATTAGAGCCATTTCCCCTATTTAAAAAAAAACTTCATTAACAAGAACTTCCAGACAAATCCAGACTTGTTATTCTACAACAGCCAGATTTTTTGAAAGATCACTTGGCAACTCATATCATGGCTTTTTAATCGTGAAAGTTGTCTAAGCCTAAAATGTCGAAAAATGCTTTAGGAAAATTTTCAAGCTCTACACTAAGAAAAATTCAAAGATTGTGTTTATGTGTCCCACCCATGACGAAATGGCTTTCAATCGAGTTTGCACTCGGTACTGAACTTTTTTTTCGAATTCTTTCAGTTTCTCGCCTGTTTCGTGTTGCTGCTGTTAGTAGCGAGTCTACGTGTAGACGCACTTACTTGGATGGTTTAAAATTCGTTTGATAATCTGTTGGCAACCAATAATGGCTATTTTCACTTGTTATGATTTTAAGGTTGTGTTTACGAAGTGTCTATAGCCCAGATACAGGTAAATCCTGACATTAGAAATGGAACAAGTTTTTCTTTGGTTGGGGAGCTTCACTATAAACATATGAGCCGTAAAAGCAAGAATAAGTACGAATAAGTACCGATCGAAGAGATCGATTCAAAATCAATTCGGGTTTTAAAGTTAAAAAGACTCGCACAACCCATCATCGTGAGAGGATCCGGAGCAGCGCTGAACTCGATGTAGCCAGAATATGAGAATTGCCAAAGCCAGAAACCAGTTTTCGCACAAAACGCCGCTTGCGCCGATGACGGTTTGTGATTTTTTTTCCTTCTTTCTGGAGTTCAATAAGACCGCCCCGCCGCCGCGCACCGGTCCAAGAGGAATCGAAAAACGTTGCCCTCCCGGTTGCGTGTGTGCATGGCGCCGACGACACCGTCGCCGTCGCCGCCGCCCGCCTTATCGGTATTTTTGTTTCGGACTCGGTTATGGAATTGATTTGTCGTGTCCTGGGTCCGGATATCCTTCGATCCAAGTTGTAGCTGATATGTTGTTGCGGTTGTTGTTGTTGTTGTTGTTGTTGACAGGTTGCGTGAAGGTTTCGAAAGGTTTCACTTTCGATTTGGGTCCAGTGTGGTTGGATGACGTTTTGGCTAACATTTTTTGAACAGTGTTTTCAAGGGGTCGATCATCATTGTGATAGTACAGATATTACAATGTGCTTAGCTACTAACCAGCTGACATATTTTCAAGTTTTTAAAACTTGATTTTTGGAGACATAAAATTTTATACAGTATGCACGAATTGCAAAAAACCACAAGATGGCAACACTGTAGGGGAAAAAAAATCAAATCTCAGCATTTGATTGTACTTAGAAGTGTCAAGTCTTGAACATACTCACAGATTTGATCGTTTTGAGCAACTTTCAACATGTTAATGCAACTTTCAACATGTGTCAAATTTAGGTGAAAATGCACCACAGCCTAACTTTAATCTTTTAAGAGTCACGAAAAGCCGAGTATTTTGAAAATGAAAGCGAACCAGAATGACCCAATTGCACCGTAAAACACTACAAGGAATAAAGCAACTTTTTTGCGTTCACTTTAAACATGAAACGACATAACTAACAATATTGCGCATACGATAGGTCGTAGCGAAAAAAATAAATGTAAGCAATATGCATCCGTACTAGCTGCACGTGCCATCGTTTTAGCAGGGTGCGAAATAAATATGCAATTCGGTTGATGATGCATCGAGCGAGCACTCAAATTTAAACACGACGAATGACTAATTGTGATGTTCGCAGCTAATGTCATAGGCATGTGCAGATTTCCGACTAGGGGATAGCCTTAAATGATGTATTTCCAGAAGAATTACGTACTCAGCTTCGCCCATCAGAAACTGATCGATGTTGTTAAATGTTTTGAAATCATGTTGATTGTAAGCGGTCGAAAATGTTTACTATTGCCCCCCTCTCCCTAGTTCTTCAGCAATTTGCAGCGAGCTCTGATGTGCAGTCACTACCACCCTCATCTATGCCTATGTTCACGTCAAGTTCCAGGAAAAAGAGACAATGCAATAATTTGAAACCCCTCAACAAACACGCTGATTTGCATTTGTCAAATTTGATGAGTTTCGGCTACAATAAATAAAAAAAAAAACATTCCGATTGACCAAACATTCAAACCGAAGCCGCGATACCTCCAAGACTGCTCGCTGCTGTTTGACATTCAAATTTTCTAGCGCCAATATCCGCCCACCAAAGGGACGCCCACACACATGTCGAATCAATTTTCGAGATGCTGCTCGTTAGTTAGTTTTATTATTTGCTCACCTGGTGGGTAAATTGAATGCGAATGATGTGCTCTGCTATCGCTCAGAACGACACACACCGAGCAAGATATTGAGGCGATTTTCTTCGTTCGTCTATTTGCGATGGGTAAATAGTAACTTGACTTGGACACTCTTGCCAAAATCTTTCCCGTCGTCCACTTTGTAGCGACTCGAATGCTGAATGCTGTCTGGCCCAAATAAACTACCTATATAGGCACCGGAGAAAGAACCATTCCCGCACGGCAATGCCGTTTGGACACGTTTGACTGAGCAAGCACCGGCCGGACTAGAGTAGGGTAGAGCTGCCAGCGTTGGACTCCTGAAGCTGATGATGATTGAAAGACCAGCAGCAGTAGCTTGGACAAGTTTGCGATACCTAGTAGAGTGAAATGCACTGAAGGAAATGTGGTCGGTGGAATGGGCAGCAAGGGGGATGCCATAGCGAGATAGAGAGACCAATAACGACAAGATGACGCCACCAGGGACGGTAACGACTGGCGAAGCGATGCCGCCGTAGCCGGAATATACAGCAGCAGTTGTAGAGGCAAAGCAGAAGGGTGAATTTCATGGACGAATTGATGCACACGTACAATACGGTTCCCAAGACGAAACATATATTGATTTAGTGCGGATGCTGCATGGTGTGGTGGATACTGCGGTGGAAGTAACGAGTGAGATGACCGGAAGTTTACCGGAGATACAGTCAAGATTCCCATAGTACGGTTAATAGCTATGCAAAGTTGCTCGAAGTGCCGAACCGGGCAAGCTGACATGGATGGTTCTCGCCAAACAATTTCTTAGAGTGAGTCGTATGCAATCGGAATCTTTACTTTCAAATGGACCTGTGACTAGTTCTT